TCTTTAAACTGCCTCAGGCATGTCTCAGTTTAAACAATGTAGCAAACAGGCTCCAGTGATAACCTTAAATTAAGCCTGTTTACCTACAAAGAAAACTTGCTAAAAACCATAGACAGACTCAAGATAAGGGGGTAAAACTAATTACATTTCTTTAAAGGGATTAAACCTATGGAAGCCAACACTTTGGACTCATTGCTAGCCTTTGTGAAACAGACTAAAATATTTCAATAACCAAAGCACACAAACCGAGCCTCTGAATTACAAAATGCTGTAAAAACTGTATAAAAATCCTTATGGTAATCCATTCAAGCTGCCAGTTGACCAGGAACCCATTGGTTTCTGAAATAAACCTGCCTCCTTTCTGACATGCTCGTCTCCCGGCTTTTCATTTCATCAGTGCTGATTGCATTCTCCTGGCTGGAGAAAACGAACCAGGGGACCTTTTCTTCCAGCAACAGCTGCTGCTTCTTCCCTGTCTCTTTTTCCTCCCTGCCTGCTGAGCTTTCCTTCCACAGCTTCTTCTCCATCCCCTTCTCTTTCCCTGTTGTCTTTTTCCCCTTTCCCACCAAAACCACCTCCTTTTATATCCTCTCCTCCCCCTTTTTCTCTTCAGTTCACCTCCAGCTCCGCGCTGCTTCCAGAAGCGCCAATCAGCTGGAACCAATCAGCTACAGCCAATCAGCTGGAGTCCTGCCAGTGCTCCTGGGGCTTCTGCTGAGCCCCTACAGTCCTGCAGCTCCAGCTGCTTCTCCCTCAGGCTTGGGTCGCTTTGGCTCATTCCCCTCCCCCGCTACACTTCTCTAGGATGGTTGCGTACCACCTGCCATGTGCCAAAGCACCATAGGTGATACGCATACCACTAGTTGAAAAGCCCTGATCTACAACAGGCTGAGGAATTCTGGGAGTTGAAGTCCACAAGTCATAAAACGGCCATGTTTGAAGACCCCCGATCTACAACATACAGTGTAATAGCCACTACTTAGGAAAACAGGCAGAAGACTGGCAAAATGCATCCATGAATACCAACTAGCAGTCAGAAAACATAATGAAAACTCTTTAATTTCACAACATATGGACAGACTTGACCATAGTTTCAACTGGAAAACTGTGACCATCCTAGACCAAGCCAAGTCCAAAAATGCTAGGGAATTTCTAGAAGTCTGGCACTCTGACAAATTAGCTATCAAGACACATAGACACAAACAAGATCTATATACTATGCAAGAGATAATCATCACACCAAAAATGAAACAAAACACCAAAGTACCTCCCCCCAGCAATCAGCACCTAGATGAGCATAGATTAACTCCAAGATTAACCTCAGACCAACAATCAAATAAACATTACCCCAATCAAGGAACTGCCAAACCAGCCCAACCAAAGAACCTCTAAGAGTACCCCCAGCAACACTGACAGGGCAAGCCACTAGAATATAAATTGAGAGCAAACCCCACTCCTTACTAGCACTGATGATGTTATCTTCTGGTAGTTTGGGTAATGAAACATCTGCAAGAAAACAACTAAGCTCTGAACGCCAAGGACCAAACTGAAGACAGGCAGCAATTTCAAATGCAAATGGAACTTTTTAATTTTGTAACACATTTATTTAAAAATAATTATTTTTAAATTAAATAATTGTAAACTGACTTATAAATGGAATGTTTGAATCAGATTCATACCAGTCAATGCTTGCTAGAAGCATTCTGTGTGTTACATGTATGTTCTCTTACTCATCACTTTTCTGTATGACTAGCAAAAACAGAAGGGGTAGAGCTTCATTATTCAAATTTATAAAAGACCCAACTTTGCAGACATTTCCTTTTTGTCATATATTTTATATATTGAAGATTTTTATATATTTTATGTACAGAGTAAGTATAAGTATATGCTTCATAATTATCCAGTCAGACAGTTATTTTGATGCATATTTTAGTGTAACATTTATGTTCAATGTTTTCTTGAAGAATTGATTGCAAAGTATATGACATTTCCTTTCCTTTTAATCTCAAAACAATGTGGTAAAACTGATTGGGTAGAAAGAAGATGACACCTAGTCCTAAAGCATTCACTGAGGTCCAAGGTGAAAGCACAACATTTCAAAACTGCAATATATGGTCTATCCTAGAATGGGTTAAAGTTGAGCATCCATTTGAATATCAGTCTTGCAATCACTTATCATATTTTAACTACATAATAATCAATTTCTTATTTTTTGGACTTGAAAAATAAAAAAGGACCTATAAAGCACAATCTTATGCAATCCCGTGCCCAAATAAATATGAAAAAGTTTACAGTCTTAAGACTGTAAGCCATTAAAAATGTAATGGACTAATGACTGCATGGATTTAATAAATTTTGTCATCTTCCAAGCTTAATTTACCTAATGCTTTGGGCAGAAATTTTAAGTAACACTAAAACTTTGCTTTAATAATAGATTTTTATCTTGGAAAATAATACTGAATTAATTAAAAACATTTTCTAATATACTTAATGTATTTAACAGCACTGTGTGTGTGTGTGTGTGTGTATACAAACACACATATATACATATGCACATACATGAGTGCTGTTAATTGGGATATGTGCATGTACGTGCATGTATGCATGCATGCATGCATGCATGCATACATACATACATACATATATATTGTCCCTAATTACCTTAAAAATACGAATCCCGGGTATGTTCATATTAACAGTAGAAAGACAATGACCTCCAGGATAAATGTAAAAAACAACTGTTTATTAGCTAAGCATTTGTCGGTCCCTTGCCGACGTCATTAGAGTAAAAACCCAGAGATTTGAAAGTCTGCTTATAAAGCTGGCTGCTTCAGCGCTCTGCTCATTGAGCGCGTCACTGGTCTATCTTCCCCAGTTGGTCATATTCTCTCTAGTCGCGTCACATCTGCCTGCGTCCTTCTAGATTCCAGCACCTCCTCTCCTCCCGTTGTTGCCTCCCCTTCCTGCTCCGCTCGTATCTGGGTGTTTATTGTTGTTGTTAAATCACCCTCCGGTTTATCTCGTCTTATGGTTCTCATCTGGTATTGTATATTTGCATATGGTAATGTTCCTCCCATCGTATGTGTCACCCTATTATCACTTGGCTCCTGAGTGAATTGTATTGATGTTTCCTCCTTTGCACTTGTTATAATTCCTTGCTGTCGCATGAGCAGGCAACTTTGATCTTGTCTATCTCCCTCCCTCTTATGCTTGGGTGGCACTCTTTGTACTCGTTGTGAGTTCTTGCGATGTTGCTCATATTTTCTTAATGCCTGGTAAGCCGGCAGTAAGTCTATATGGCGGTTAATCGAATGTTCGTTTGATAGCCAAGCCTCTAAGTAATCGGCCACCTTTGAAAGTGTCCTGGGCAATGGCCTCCACTCCCGCAAGATCAAATGAGTGGTTGTTGCTGGCCATATGGGTCCACACCTGTGAATGCTGCTCGTGTCGTCTAGTGGCCAATTTATGCTCATGGATCCTGGTCTTGAGCCGTTTGGTCGTCTCCCCGATGTAATTGCAGTGGCAATCGTTACATTTAACTCTATAAACCACTGATGATATTTCTTCATTGGGTAATGGCTCAAACCCTATGTGTGAAGATAATGCGTCCCATTACTATATGCAAATATACAATACCAGATGAGAGCCACAAGACAAGATAAAACAAAGGGTGATTTGACAACAACAATAAACACCCAGATATGAGCGGAGCAGGAAGGGGAGGCAATAATGGGAGGAGGTGCTGGAATCTAGAAGGATGCAGGCGGATGCGATGCAACTAGAGAGAATATGACCGACTGGGGTGGGTAGACCGGTGACGTGCTCGATGAGCAGAGCGCTGAAACAGCCAGCTTTATAAGCAGACTTTCAAATCTCTGGTTTTTTACTCTGATGACGTCGGCAGGAGACCGACGAAAGCTTAGTTAATAAACAGTTGTTTTTTACATTTATCCTGGAGGTCATTGTCTTTCTACTGTTAATATATACATATACATATATATATGTCTTTGGTTATTCGGGTTTTCTCCCGCGTAAAATTGGAAGTGTCTTGGCAATGTTTCGACGAAGTCCCATTCGTCATCTTCAGGTTGGTGTTTTCAGCTTCGTGCTTCTAGGAGCGATGTGCGATCGCAGCTGTTTCTTCCTTTTAACTGCCAGTGGGGGTGTGAACTGATTGGGTGGGAGCTTGGCTGTGTTCTGATTGGGTGGAGATGTGTTCTGATTGGGTAGGGGCTTGGCTGTGCTCTGATTGGATGGGAGATTAGCTGTGCTCTGATTGGATGGGGGTGTGTTCTGTTTGGGTGGGGGCTTTGTTGTGCTCGGGTTAGTCTGAGTTGTAGGGGGATTTGAGATGGTGAGCTGCGTTGCTGTTGTTTGGCAGCAGCAACGCAGCTCACCATCTCAAATCCCCCTGCAACTCAGACTAACCTGAGCACAACAAAGCCCCCACCCAAACAGAACACACCCCCATCCAATCAGAGCACAGCCAACCCCCCATCCAATCAGAACACAGCCAAGCTCCCACCCAATCAGTTCACACCCCCACTGGCAGTTAAAAGGAAGAAACAGCTGCGATTGCACATTGCTCCTACAAGCACAAAGCCGAAAACACCAGCCTGATGATGACAAATGGGTCTTCATCGAAACGTCACCAAGACACTTCCAATTTTACGTGGGAGAAAACCCGAATAACCAAAGACCTACATACAAACACCCGCGAAAACCTCAGAAAACACACACACACACACACACACACATATATATACACACACACACATACATACATACATATGCATATGCATATATATATATGTGGGGGGGTGTTGTGTGTGTGTGTATGCAGGGGTTTTTTTTGTCATAGAATGCCCAGAACAGAGTTCTGGCACCTTTTTTGGATGGAACCTTGTAGGGTAGGCAAGGCGGGTTGTATGATGCGTGTGAGTTCTGGCACCTTTTTTTTTTTTTTTTTTACAAAAAAAGCACTGTGTATATATATATATATGTATACATACATATACATATATGTTCAAAAATAGTTCAATTCTTTTTAAAGGCGAAAAAGGATTGTAAGGTATGATACTGAGGAAACATTTTTAACAAGAATTCAAGTAAAAGGAAAGGTTCCAGGAAATATATAGTACAGAAAGTCACTTTTTCACAAGATGGTTTTTAATCAGATGTCCCACCAGCTTCTGTGGTCTTGTCTGATACTCCTTCAAAACATCATGAGGTGTAGAGATCTGATCTCCTTCAAGTCGGTTCAGTAATGTTACACATACTACAGCACCTAACATTTACAAAACAATATCAATGATATTATCTCCCCAAATTATTGAAAAATAATAATTTAATAATTTATAAAAATAATAACAATAATTTCACAAATACTGTGAAAAAATATGTTACTTTCTTAGTTTTATAACTTGGAGACAAAGTAAACCATTTAAGGGAGATGCAATTCAGTTGACAATAGTAGGGATTAGAATAAAACACAGTCCCTAGTGCCCTTGTTAGTAGGCCTTGTGACAGAACGTGAGGAGCTGGAAAGCAACATCAATACTAAATCAGATTGCCTTCTCTGATACTGGTCCTCCCCTACCTCAAGATACCAGTATTACAATTAGTCTATTACTCCTACTTAAATTAAAAACCCTTCAGTATGTTAGAATTAAAGCTAGTGGATTAAATAACATTATATACATGCAGTTACCTTTGAGGCCACTAAGATTGCACATAGCTGCAAAAACAGAAGATTCCATCTCAATATTTCTCACTCCAGTCTTGTGAGCTTCCTTCAAATATTGCAGTTTCTCTTCTTCAGTATATGTGCAGATGGCACCATCAAGGCGAGCTTGACCTACAAATGCATGACATGTAAAAATACACATTTTTGCAATAAGATCCTGATCAGGTGACTAAAGGTCCACTAAAGATTCACTAAAGTTCCCTGGGGAGAGGGACAGCATTAACTGCAGGGGAAAACAGGAGGCCAGATCAAGATAATAAATGTATCTGAAATTATTTAGCCAGGAAGATTAAAATTGTACAGATGATTTGTATGTGTATTATGAATAGATATCTATTCTAGTGACTTTTAAGCTATAGTAAATCCTAAACAAAGCTATTTTTTTTATTCACACATTCGTCACAATTTCTACCCTTTTCCTGAAGAATTTACACTTAGTTTTCTCTCAGGATTTATTCTTTGACCCAGGATTTATTCTTTGATTCAACTTTCTGTGCTACTTTTAGACTAATGAGCACAACAAAGAGCTCCATGCTGACTTCTGCATTCATAAAACTAACTTCCTTCCTTCCTCCCTCCCTCCCTCCCTCTCTCCCTCCCTTCCTTCCTTCAGTCCAAATGTTGAACTTGTGGCATCCATGCAATTAAGAGGAGAAGACATTTTAAATTCAAGCAATGCACTGTTGCCTATCATCAAAATAGAAAATTAAAAATAACAAAGCTTAAATAGATTAAAAAAGGATCACCTGATCAGAACCAAGTAAATATTACTGTGAGGTAAACTACCTTGGATTTTAAAATATATTTGGATGAAATTCTAAAAAAATAGCTAAATTCCATTCTTTTCCCATTTTTCATGCAAAAGCAGTCAATTACATCTGGAGTTTACATCTGCATTTTTCTTCATACTTGTTTATTTTATATGTAAAGTTAAGAAAAGTATGTTTTACTTCATCGTCTGATTATTCAGACTGAAATTTTGTTTGCTATGTACAAGATAGTATTCAACTACTCTTACCTTCATAGAAATCCAGAGTGCACAATGTGTTTCCAATAACTGTGTTGAACTGATCAAGTTCCTTGGCACACTCCATAAGATCTTCAGTTAGTTTTTCATCTAAATATGTACTACGAATGACAGACTTCCCCAAAATAATCTGCTCAAACTGTGGCTTAAAGGTAGCATCTACAGCTTGCTTTGTGATCACCACGGAGCCTGGTGTCAAACCTACATTATAAATATAATTTGTATTTGATGATAATATAAATCAATCACGTTTACTTTAATGAAATAACCATAAAAATACCTAGTCCACCAGATGTGCCAATACGAATAATGGTTACATTGCAGCATTTGGCATGATACAGCAGCTTGATGAGTTCATGCAACATGATGGCAATTGAAGGGATTCCCATTCCATGCTGAAATTTAAAAATGGGAGGGGGAGGAATACTATGAATATTTATATCACTTCACATGTTCTATTTATGTATGAATGAGTATGAATATTAACAGAGGAGTAAAACAGCATGACAGATTATTCTTCATTCCTTATAGAACCTGAACATTTTTTGCTGAATAAAGAATAATATATTTATCCTGAACCTCTTAACAAAGCACTCTGAATAGCCAGTGTAGTATAGCAGGGCTCTCAGCCTTCTTGTCTGGCATTGACTGAAGGGTTTGCAAGGTAGATGGATTTGTGTGCTAAAGCAGGCCAGACTTGAACCTTTTGACAAGTAATTTTTTAAATAATATTTTATTATTTTTCTAATTTTACAATTAAACATTTAAAAAGCAACATGGTGACTGGGTAATCAATAATCTGACAAGTAATTTGATGGACATAGTCATTCACCTCCTCGGGTCTCCTTGCTGTTTCCTCTTCTTCTCCAGTACAGGAGATGAAGAATCCACCAATGGGTTTTCTCTGTCTGCCTGCTCTTGAGACCAAGTAGCCAAACTTGACACGCCCCCTCTTGCTAGAGACCCAATCTTAAGTTGGTCTCAGCTCTTGAAGACGTATCAGGTTTGGCTCTCAGCAGATAGCAGATTAGAAAACTCCATTGGTGAATTCTCCTTTTCTCAATATTTGGCTAAAACAATAATTTGGAACTCCCTTTAACAAATTTAACAAAATTCCTTAACTCAATCGTGATTTGAGGTGTGTGGCATGAGGGGGGAGGTCTTTGCAGCTTTCCTGCTTCCAGATCCCCAGGGCTCTGGGGAACAACTTCTAAGCAGGGGCTGTTTGAATCATATCACATTCTTCCCCCCCCCTTTTTCCCTTCCGTTCTTGGTGCTACCAGGCACAATTTCAGGCTGCAGGTCTGAAATTCAATTTTGAAGTCAGACCTTCGGAATGTCCCAGGCAGCCGAGAACAGTCGCGGACGCCATATTGGTTGCTGGTAAAGGCAACGAAGCTAATTTAAGCCTCGTTTTTGCCTGCCGTTCGGAGGCAGCCTTGCGGAGCGAAATTCAGCCTCGCTTTTGCCTGCCATTCAGAGGCAAGCTTATGGAGCGCATTTTCGATGCAGCGGTTAGCGCTGCCACGATTGCCCCAGCTCCAGGACCTTCGTTCTTGAGGCCGCGGAGACCGTTCTCAGCGAGAACGAGTCGTGGCTGCCATTTTGGGGCCGCCGACAAGGACGAAGAGCTGCGAACGGCCTTTTCTTCGGTGTTCCCAGCGCTCTGTCCCATCGGTGGCTCAGTTGACACAGTCCTTTTCAGGGCCTTAATTACCAGTTTCGCTGCCCTCCTCTGGACGTAAATTGTGAGATCACCCCTGACGGCCGCCATCTTAAACGCCACGTGGGGGCTTCTTTAGGCCCAACGAGGCCTACTCACAGTAGTTGAGCCGCCATTTTAAACGTCACGTGGAGGCTTCTTTAGGCCCAATGAGGCCTACTCACAGTAGTTGGCCTAACATAGGCCGCATCTGGGGTATGTCTCTCTTTATCACATCACTTTCTGCAATACAAATACAAATTGGGTAGCCACCAATTGAGCCTGAATTTCCTTGCCAGGACCCCTTTTTTTGTCTCAGGCCTTCTGCACCCTCTTTGGGGCTTTTCCTTTTTGCTGGTGCACATTGACTGGCCACCTAAGGCCTCCGGGCAGAGCCCAGAGCGGGTCCCCAACCGTGCCTTCGGCATCTGACTCAATTGCCGTGACCAAAGCCCAGATAGAATTATTTTCTGGTCAGGTGGTCAGGGGAACAGTCTTGTTACTTATTCCAATTTCGCTTCCGCCAACTGCTTGCCTGCCAGAGCTTCGTTCTCAGTTTTTCTGAGACTGCTCAACCAGGATGGAGGACTCAACGTTGCCCCAACCCATGAGCACCGCCTCCCCATCCTCTAGTTACGGCCGGCACAAATCCTCTGAACAGGAGGCGGCAGGCAAGCCCAAATCTAAGGCCAAGACCACGCTCAAGAAGCCTTCCAAGTTGGCGGAAAAGCAAGCCAGCAGTAGGCACCAGGCTCTGGAGAAAGAGTTCTCCAGAGTGCAGAGACAGGCCAGACTGGAGACGGATCAAATGGCGGCCTCTGAATTTGACCTTCCTTTAGGCCCTTCAACCTCAGCCCAAGGTGTTTGGTCTCTCACAGGGATGCCTGCCACACTCAGCTCCCCTTCTGTATTGGCTCAACAGACAACTGTTTCAGGCTCAGCCCCAGAGGCCACCTTCACTCCTACGGCCGCAGGACTCAGGGGTCCGGACATCAGAGACATTTTCTCTGACGGCCGTCTTGAGGCCTTACTATCCAAGGTTGTGGACCGCGTCCTAGCAGAAAGGTCCTTTCATCCGTCTTGACAAGGGGCTTCCACATCGACCATGCCACCATATGTTCCCTCCACAGGGTTTCCCGTTCTTCAGGAACCCACATCTCCTGCACACTCCTCAATGAGCGGATACTCATCTCCGCAAGGTGAGGAGCAGCTGGAATTTAATCTATCAGAGGAGGAGGAGGAACTTCCACCTGAACCCTCCCCATCGGGAGGTCTGTTCAATCCGGCCCTTTTTCTTCCCCTACTCCGCAAGGCCACATCAACGGCAAACATAGGGTCAGATCAATTCCCTCAGCTGCAGGCAACTTCAGACTCCAGCCCAAATCCCATATTTTTTGAGATGGTGGCAGCCCAACATCACGTTCCGTGTCCCTCTATCTTTCTCAAAGGGATCAAAAAGCAATGGGCCTCCCCTTCCTCCTTCCCTTCCATAAGCAGGTCTGATAAAAAGATTTTCAGCACCTCCACAGACCTTTCTGATGCTCTGGAGGTCCCCAAGGTAGATGAAGCCTGGACCCCTCTGGTTTCCCAGACTGCGGTCGCTGGGGACATGTCGGAGGCGCTTAAAGCGGATGACAGAAAATGGGACCAGACCTTCCGGAAGACCCATCAATCAGCAGCATGGGCAATTAAAACGACCACTTGTGCGTCCTTCTTTGTGCGTACCACCCTTTTATGGCTGCGTCAACTTCAGGCCAGGGTCCCTGCTGAGGACATTTGGACCCATCAGGACCTAAGCAAAATGGTGGTGGCCACTGAGTAGGCTGCGGACGCAACGCTTCAGTTGGCCAACTTTGCTTCTAGGTCTCTAGCATCCAACATTACAGCCAGGAGGATGCTTTGGCTGAAACACTGGCAGGCTGACGCCAAAGCCAAATGGCGTCTAGCGACTGCTCCCTATCTGGGCAATAATCTTTTTGGGGAGGCCCTGGCCCCGTACCTTGTGGAGAACAAGGACAAGCGGAAGGTCATGGCCCACTTGAACAAGTGGGCCAACAAACGTCCCACTCCCTATTTCTGCAGACTGTCCTTTTGGCCAGTGGCAAGCACAGCAGTCACTCAGCCTTCTCACTCATACACACCCAGACAGGACAGGCCGTATGACTGTCCGTATGACAGGCCTGGCTTTCAGTCCAGACAGCAGGGCCAATCTAAGCGGCCATTTTGAGGGGCAGGACGCCCCTACAGGAAGTCCAAATGACTTTTATGCTGCACTTCCCATCGGGGGGAGGCTGGCCCACTTCTTTCATCAGTGGGCGCTCACTTCCATGGACACCTGGGTCTTACATACCATCCAGTTTGGTCTGTCCCTGGAGTTTCTGGCCAGCCCCCTGGACCGATTCATTGCCTGTCCCATTTTACGGGATACACTCAAACAAAAACTCATGCAGGAAGCCATTCAACACCTTCTAGAGATTCAGGCCATAGAACCAGTACCGCCGGACCACATGGGATTCTACTCCATCCTCTTTGTGGTCCCCATGGCCTCAGGGGGATGGAGAGCGATTCTAGACCTCAAAGGTCTAAACTATTACATCACTTACAAAAAGTTCAAGATGCAATCACTCCAGTCCATCCTGGGGGGCATCAGACAAGGAGACTTCTTAGCGTCAATAGACCTCACGGAGGCGTATCTCCACATCCCTATCCATCCAGCTCACCGACGGTTCCTCAGGTTCTGTTACAAGGACAGTCATTACCGGTACAGGGCCCTTCCTTTCGGCCTTTCCTCGGTGCCCAGGGTGTTCACCAAGATCCTGGCTGTACTAGCCGCCCACTTAAGAAAGGTACCAATACGCGTCCAGTGTTACCTGGACGACATCCTGATTCAGGCATCATCCTTCCAGGCAGCTCAGTCAGACCTGGAACTCACCATTCAGGTCCTCTAACAACATGGCTTCTCGGTCAATTTTCAAAAAAGCCAGACAGTTCCATCATCCAGGCTTCTGCACCTGGGAGCCGTCATAGACACCACAAACTGCATGGTCTATCTCTCCCAGGAGTGTTTGGTCAGCATCAGGGATCTGGCTGGTCGGGTATACAGGGACCGTACCGTTTCACTGGTCTTACTCTCCCAACTTTTGGGAAAGATGGTCTCCTACATAGCCATAGTTCCCTGGGCCAGGCTCCACTTGCGGGACCTGCAATGGTTCTTCCTACCATTTCAGCGGGTGAATGCCAGCGCATCCAACCATCAGGTCAGGCTCCCAGTTCACATCCTCAGGTCTCTGCACTGGTGGTTCTCACAAGTGGTGACCAAGGGATCACCCTTCAAGGAACCGGACCGCATCACCATTACGATGGACTCCAGTCTATTTGGTTGGGGCGCCCATCTACAGTCTCAGTTTGCGCAGGGCCGTTGGTCCCACGCAGACTTGAGACACAACATCAATTGGCTGGAGCTCAGGGCCATACACTTAGCTCTTTGCAAATTCAGGCACTGGATCAGGGGCCGTCACGTTCTGATCCTCACGGACGTGGCGTACAAGGCACACGTCAATCATCAGGGGGGCACCAGGTCCAGGTCCCTTATGTCCAAGGCACGGCTCCTGGGTTCCTGGGTAGAGTCCAACCTGGCCTCTCTCAAGGCCAAACACATCTCGGGGGTCGAGAACCAGCAAGCAGACCTTTTGAGTCGCTCCACGGTGGACCCTCGGAGTGGGGGTTGCATCCGGACCTGTTCTCCGAGATCTCCCACAGGTTCGGCCATCCGATTCTCGACCTGCTTGCGTCGTCGACCAATGCCCAACTCCCCAGGTACTACTCCCGCTATTTTCTCCCAGGGGCGGAGGGGACGGACACCTTGCGGACCCCGTGGCCACAAGGTCTCCTTTATGCCTTCCCTCCCCTCCCACTCATACCGGTGACCATCCACAAGTTACTCCAAGAGCAGGCAGAAGTGATCCTCGTGGCCCCTTACTGGCCACAGAGGCCCTGTTTGCCGACCTGGTGAATCTTTCCCAGTCTCCCCCGTGGAAGATTCCTCCTCATCGTGTGTCCTTACACCAGGGGATCCTCCAACACCTCGACCCTCAATGGTTACAGTTGACCGTCTGGCGCTTGAGCGCAGCATCATGACACAAGAATTATTTCACCCCCGCGCAATTACCATGATTCAAGCCTCTCGTCGCCCAGCAACTAATCGCATTTATGATTCTACTTGGAAAAACTTTTGCCGCTGGTGTAGAGGGCGACAACTTGATGTCTACAAATTGACCATCCCGCAGATCGTAGATTATCTTCTGGATAGTCTGGACAGAGGCCTGGCCCCTGTGACTATTCGCAGACAGGTGGCGGCCCTGTCAACATTGCTCACTTGTGCGGATTCAGTCCCCTTAGCTCATCATCCTAGGATACGCGCTTTCATCAAGGGTGCGTGCAACACCAGGCCTCCCATGGTACACAGGTACCCCTCTTGGGAATTGCCTCGTGTGCTTCGTGCTCTGACAAAACCACCCTTTGAACCTATAGCGACTATTCCGTTGTGGAACTTGTCTCTTAAGGTTGCGTTCTTAATCGCCATCACGTCAGCCAGGAGCATTTCTAAGCTGGCTACTCTCTCGGTCAGGAAGGACCTTTGTATCTTCCACAGCGACCGAGTGGTCCTTCGTCTGGACCCCGCTTTCATGCCCAAGATCAACTCGCTCTTCCATAGGGCACAGGAAGTCATTTTACCAAATTTTTGCCCCAATCCTTCGCATGACTTGGAGCGGCAATGGCACACACTGGACGTCCGCAGGGCACTGCGGCATTACATGAAACGCACGGAGCCTTTTCGTAAATCTGAGGCTCTATTCATTTCCTTCCGTCCGGCTTCTCTGGGACAGAAGGTGTCCGCTGGCACTATTGGCAGGTGGATCAGGGCCTGCATCGCGGAGGCGTACCAGTCCTCTTCCCTGCCGGCTCCAAGTCATCTTACTGCCCATTCCACTCGCAGTGCTGCGACCTCGGCGGCATGGGCCACTCAGGCGTCCATCGAGATTTGCAGGGCTGCGACATGGTCCTCGCCCTCCCCATTTGTCCGCCATTACAGAATTGACCGTTTCGCTTCTGTGAATGCCTCCTTTGGTCGGAGGATCCTTCAGCAGGTAGTCTCCGGGGACATTGTTCCGGCCTTATCTGTTTCCCACCCATCGGGACAGTGAGGCTTTGGTATGTCCCATTGGTGGATTCTCCATCTCCTGTACTGGAGAAGGGGCGTTGTCTTACCAGAACGCCTTTTCTCAGTACGGAGATGGAGAATCCACACCCACCCTTTAGGTCAGTTAGGCCGAATTTAAGGGATTGAGAGCCAACACCTCGTCCACCTTCAGCCACTTTTGCCCTCGTTAAGACTGGATCTCTAGCAAGAGGGTGTGTGTCAAGTTTGGCTACTTGGTCTCAAGAGCAGGCAGACAGAGAAAACCCATTGGTGGATTCTCCATCTCCGTACTGAGAAAAGGCGTTCAGGTAAGACAACGCCCCTTCTCATGATATGGGGCAGTGGCCCCCTACCTTTTGGGCACCAGGGACCAGTTTCATGGAGAGAGGATTTTCTGTGGACCGGAGGGAGTGTGGTTTCGTATGCTGCCTGCATACTGCGGATGAGGCTTCACTTGTTTGTGTGGTCCAGTTTTGACATGCCATAGGCCGGTGTCAGTCCACGGACCAAGGGTTGGGGATTCCGATATAGAGTGTCCTGCTTGACCAGGAGATTGGACTAAAAGACCTCCTAGGTCCCTTCCAAATCTATTATCTATGCTCTTCTGAAACCAACATTGGATAAAACACTGCTTGCTTCTCTCAGACATCAACCAACTCTTTTATATCTTTCCTTTTATTTATTTCTTGGAACATAATTCATCTCCAAACCATATCAACATTTCAACTGATTGGTTCAAAATATGTCTGGAATCCAAAATTTCTCCTTTTTTTGTAACTGTATTGTGTCCAGAAATATCTACACCTGTTGCATGTCCTATCCATTCATTTATTTTCAACAGCATTTTCTAATCTCATAAAAAAGCAGAGATTCTCAATTTTCAGGCCTTAGTTTGGGGCATATAGTCATTGAATATATATTCAGACATATTTATAACTGATTATTAAGTTGCAAATATTAAACTCATTAAAAATTAACTTTTCTCAAAAAGAAAATTAATGCTCTCACTCAAGGAGGAATGTTGGAGAATGTAAAAGCTTGCATACTTATATAAAACATTGTAATTAGTCAAAATAAAAGCAAATGTTTAAAGTCACAGACCTATGTATCTTTTTAATATATTTTTGCATATATATTTTGTTTTTAAAATGTATATTATACTTACACTGACTGACAGTACAGGTCCTGCTTTGTACATTGCATACCGATCTGTTCCAGCACATATATTGGGATAGTCATAACCAGGGTGACCAATTTCGAGCAGTTCAGCAATATAGGTAGTAAACATTTTCATCCGTGAAGGACTTCCTCCAACACATACAAACTAAGCAGAATTAAATAAATAAAACACATTCTTAGAAAAATATACACTTTTAATGTGCACTAATATTAAAAATGATGGTTTCAAAAGCTACCTGAACTAAAATGATTTCTAGATGTTACCCCACTATGCAGAATTATTAATGTCTTCAAGTGTTTACTATAGGGAAATATTATCTATGATTAGAATAAACACTTGGTCAATAAATTTTTACAAAGCTAATTGCAAAAGGCATAAATTTTAGATGATTAATGCCAGAAGAGATTTTAATTAAATGGAATAATACAAGATATCGATTGGATTCAATCTGGAAAGCAGAAGACTTTGATGAAAGAAACCAAGCATTCTCAGATGAAGGAGTGCAACATTGGCAAGAGGAGAGAAAGGAACAGAAACAAATGGAAGAAACAACTGAAGAAGTAACTATACAAACAGGAGAACAGAAAGAGAAATCTGAGCAAGAGAGTGAAGGAACTGCCAGAGAACAGAGGATCAACTAGACCTAAATATAAATAACTGAAATGGAGAAAGAAAATGGATTTTTTTCAGTGAATATAAATGGACTAAAATCCCCATCAAAAAGAAACAAAACTTTTAGGAAAGTACAGAAATTATATATAGATATAATTTGTTTGCAAGAGACACATATAAAAAACAATATTATAAGCTGTTGGAGTACCAAAAAATTGGGAAACTTTATCACGCATCAGCGCAACAGAAAAAAAGAGGTGTTGCTGTATATTTTAAAGAGACAATAGATTCTAAAATGATTTACTCAGATGAAGGAGAAAGAATTGTGATGGTAGAAATATATTTAAACCAAAAACAAACATTGTTAGTAGTAATCTACACACCAAATAATAACCAGGAAGAATTCTACTGAAATCTCCATAGAAAAATAATAGAAATGGAATACCAAAATATTTGTTTAGTAGGAGACTTCAATGCAACAGTAGATGGGACAATAGACTATAAAAGCAGTAAAACAGGAAAAACTGGAAAAAGACTACCTAAGACTTTGGAGAAATTGGAGTACAAGATGTTTGGAGGAAAATTAATCCAGGAAAACTACAATATACTTTTTATTCAAACAGTCAAAAATCCTAGTCCAGAATTGATATAATAATAATAATAATAATAATAATAATAATAATAATAATAATAATAATAATAATAATAATAATAATAATAATAATAATAATAATAATAATAATAATAATGTTGGAAGGGACCTTGGAGGTCATCTAGTCCAACCCCCTGCTCAGGCAGGAACCCTATACCATTTTGGACAAATGGCTGTCCAGTTCTTCCAGTGTTGGTGCATTCACTGCTTCTGGAGGCAGGTTGTTCCACTGGTTAATTGTTCTAACTGTCAGGAAGTTTCTCCTTAGTTCTAGGTTGCTTCTCTCTTTGGTTAGCTTCCACCCGTTGCTCCTTGTCCTGCTTTCAGGCGCTTTGGAAAATAGCTTGACTCCCTCTTCTTTGTGGCAGCCCCTGAGATATTGGAACACTGCTATCATGTCCCCCCNCATATTTAAATGATTGTCCACTAGGACTCCGAGATCCCTCTCACAGTTACTACTATTGAGCAAGGTACCCCCTATACTATACCTGTACATTTGGTTTTTCTTGCCTAAATGTAGAACCTTACTTTTTTCACCATTGAATTTCATTTTGTTAGATAGTGCCCAGTGTTCAAGTCTGTCCAGATCCTCCTGTATCCTAAGCTTGTCTTCTGGAGTGTTGGCTATTCCTGCCAGCTTGGTATCGTCTGCAAATTTGATGAGTTCCCCATCTATCCCCTCGTCCAAATCGTTGATGAAGATGTTGAAGAGCACTGGGCCCAGAACAGAGCCCTGGGTCACCCCACTACACACTTCCCTCCATGTAGATGCGGTTCCATTGAGGACCACACGCTGAGTACGGCCGGTCAGCCAGCTACGGATCCATCTGGTAGTGATGCTGTCTAACCCGCATTTTTCTATCTTCTCAAGTAGTAGGTTGTGGTCTACTTTGTCAAATGCCTTACTGAAGTCCAAGTAAATTATATCCACAGCATTCCTCTGGTCCACTAATTTTGTCACTTGGTCAAAGAATGCAATAAGATTTGTCTGGCATGATCTGTTTTTGACAAACCCGTGTTGATTTTTAGTAATGGCTTTGTTTGCCTGTAGGTGTTTGCTGATTTGTTGTTTGATTATCTTTTCCAGAATCTTCCCAGGTATTGAGGTCAGGCTGATAGGTCTGTAATTTCCTGGGTCCTTTTCTCCCCCTTTTTTGAAGATGGGAACTACATCAGCTCTTTTCCAGTCCTCTGGTAGTTCCCCAGTGCTCCAGGATCTCTGAAAAATATAGTTCAGTGGTTCTGAGATTACATCTGCCAGTTTCTTGAGAACCTTGGATGTAATCCATCTGGTCCTGGTGATTTGAACTCGTCTAGGCTGGACAGGTGTTCACTTACCATTTTCTTGCCTATCTTAACTTGTATTTCTATTTTGTTTTTTATGGCACTATTTTTGATAGGTTGGTCTGTTTTTTCCCTTTGTGTAAAGACAGATGCGAAAAACGAGTTAAATAGTTCTGCTTTCTCCTTGTTGCTTGTCACCTTCTTGCCACTTTCACCCACTAGTGGACCAATCATTTCCTTCACTTTTCATCTGAATTGAGGACAAATATGCAGGAAATTGAGATAGAACCAGGTACGTGGGCAGACCATAACCCTTTAAAAGTGATGTGGAGAGGAATACAAAAAAAATTAAGATGGACTTTGAACCAATCTATATTAAAAGTAAGAGAATTTATAGAACTAGCAAAAAAGAAATGGAGTTCTTCTTTAAAGAAAATAAAAAAGAAGATACAACATTACAAAATGTATTGGACACAGCTAAAGCACATTCTAGAGGTATAGCTATAACATACACGGCAAAGAAAAGACAGCATTATGTACTATTAAAAGAAAAAATTGGAAAACTAGAATCAGAACTGCAGATGAACCTGCAGAAGAAGACTTTGAAAAGAAAAATAGAAACAATAAAACGCAAAGTAAATCTGTTGGATTCAGAAAAATTGGCACAACAGATAAAAAGAGCAAAACAATTTTTTTTGAAAATGCAAATAAACCAGGAAGATGGTTAGCTTATAAACTTAAAAAACAGAAGAAGAAAATGATACACAATTTAGTAGATAAAAAAGTTGTCTACAATTTAAAAATGAAGAAATAAAAAGATTGTTAGAGAATTTTAATTTCTCTGTTGGTAAAAATAAATCAGAAGCTCTCACAGTTGACTGCATTTAGCTGATTCAAATAAACTCTTTATATTCATATAAAAATATTTACAATGCCATATATTCTTCTTCATAGCAACATAGCATAAATGAAGACTTTTTACAGCAGAGACAGACCTGAGACCTGAGACTGAAACCCAGCTTCTAACTCAATAACCTTTTTTACAGACTCAGTAGCACTTTCTTCACATTGGCTGACTGAGTTACCACATGACTCTTCCTGCTCATGAATATTCCAACACTCCTCCCTTCATGACAGGAAGAGACATCAGACCTATTGACTTAATACATTTTCCATAGTGAATACCACCCAATGGTTTAGTCATCATGTCTGCCAAATTATCCTCAGAAGAACAATGATGTNGATGCTTTGCATACTGCACAGTCCAAATATGTTTTGCATCCCTTCAAATTTAGCCCTTCTGCAAACTCTTGCATTTGCTGCAAAACTTTAAAGCTTGCATGACCAAGTCTTCTATGTAGAAGATGAACGCATGAATCATGCTCTGCAACATTCTTAAATATATGGGAACATTGAACCTTTTGTCCCTGCAATACATATAAATTATCTTCCTTTATGCCTTCTGCACAAATATTCCCATTCCTTTTGATGAGACAGTTCCCATTTACAAAAATAGTCTCAAAACCTTGTTTGTCTAAATTAGACACACTTAACAAATTATGTTCCATTTCAGGTACACAAAGCACATTGGTAAACTTTGATTCCAAATATGGAATTTCTACATCGCCTCTTCCAATGACTTTTGCTTTCTGGCCATTTGCCAAAGCCACAGCTTCTTGTGCTACTGGAACAAACCTGCAAAATAATCCAGTCATTAACAATTGTTTGACTTGCCCCACTATCTATTAGCCACTTGTCTCTGTTGTTGCTATTGCAAACTTTTGCAACACCAAAACGTTCCTTTTGCAAGTTAGTCTTCTTTGCATGCACAAAGGTCCTGTTCTGCAAATTGTTCCTCTGCGAACAGTTCTTTTTCAGAGGTGTAGTTGCTCCACAAATGTAGCAATTCTTTCCTTGCAAAGCTCTCTGTCTGCAAAATCTCTCTTTTGTTGCAATTTGGTCCCATCTGCTGCTGGTTCCTTCTCCTTGCAAAACTCTCTGTCTGCAAAATCTCTCTTTTGTTGCAATTTGGTCCCATCTGCTGCTGGTTCCTTCTCCTCCGGAGACTTGCAGTCTGGACCCCCTCCTCAGGAATTTCTCCTCCTCGTGGCTACTCCTGAAATTGTGCTTTTCTTCTTCATTAAGCAAACATGCCTTTAAAGCCTCAAAATTTAAGTCTTTCTCTTCTTTGCACTCAAATATAGCAGAAACTGTGTCCCGCGTTTTATCTAAACTGTTCAACACCAATAAAACCTTCTGTGACTCAGGAAATTTAATCCCACGTTGTTCTAAGTCCAAAAATAAACTTTGCATTTTATTTAAATGCTGTTCCACAGATTCACCTGATTGCAAACAGGCTCTGTAACGTTTTCTTGACAATTGCACTATATTGCATGCAGAAACATTCACGTGCACAGCTCTCAACTTCAGCCAAATTTCCTTTGCAGTCTTTAGATTTGCAATATTTAGAAATTGTTCATCATCTAAATTCAAGATGAGATAGGCCATTGCTTGATCATGACTTTTCTGATCAGTAGCTGCAAATACTTGTGGGGGATTTTCTACAATATACCACAGCTCTTTTGCTTTCAGCAAA